TTCAGCAGGCAAAAAGGAGGGGGAAAGAAAAGCATCTGGGGAGATGCCTGTGAACACTTGATCTGAGAGAACCATCAAAATAGACCACCAGAAAACCCAAGAAATATAATTCACCAACGAAGAGCACAAGCAATACAGCAATGAGCCAAGGCAGCAACAACAAGAAATTGCATTTCAAAGGCACCATGTTGAGAGCTCAATATTACTTGTCAGAAACAGAACCAGCCGCAAACTTACACATAAAACAAGGACAAGCAGAATAAACTTCCACAAAAGGTGCATCCAGGACTGGGAGATCAGAACAAAATCGCAGCATCATAGGATGCATCAAGGGTGAACAAAAACGGGAAGAAAAAAAAAAGATCACGCAAGATGATGTAATTTGAAGAGCATTTGCACCAGGAAGTAAGGAAATTTGTTGTTTATCATTGAAAATACTTTGAAACTAGGCACAAGAACAACAACAGCCTTCGGCGGAACAAAATACATTTTTTTCCTTGTTCAGATTGCCATCTCTAACAGCAAACGTTGCCTAATCTTGTACGGACACCTTATCCTCAATCGAGGCTGGAAACAAAATCAGGCCCTTCTAACCAATGCCGAACAGGAACCCATCTCTAGTATCCTCCACGCCATCTCTAGTAAACTGGAAGTAATATTGCTATCCGCTTCACATTATAAGTCGCCATACCCAGTATGAGTTTCATTGCAAACATGTCCACTCTCATGCTGTTGTTCATGAAACTCCAATTTTACAACAAAACTCTTTTACTCGGTCAATTAAAATAGGTGGCAGGCAACAAAGTCACTAAACTAAACTAATCTAACAAAATTATTATCAGCTGTAACTCATGTTCTTCTAAAATTATCAAATTGGGCACAAAATCCACAATTATAACATTGAAAATTGTTCTTCAAAATAAAACCCTAATCTTACAACAAAGCTTTTTTACATACAGTAAGTTAACCAAAAATAAAAAAGGGATCAATTTCATTGTTGATTTATCAATTTATTAATCATCAATAATCCTCCGGTGCACGCTTACCCTTCTTAATCTTCTCAAGCTGAACCTGCGTCTCGGTGAAGATCCTCATCCTTTCCATCTCCAAATCCTTAGCAAATTTCATCCTTTGCTTCTCCAAATCCACCATTTGCTTCAACTTCTCGCTCTCCACCCTCTCATAAACCTCCCCAAATCTCTCTATTGCAAGGGCCAATCTCTTAATCCCCTCTCCTTCCACGTCCTCCTCCGCTCTCTCTCCGTCCCCTCCCTCAAACTCCTCATCTTCATCCTCCTCACTATCAGATTCCACCGCCGCAGCTGCTGCTGCCATTGCCGAATAATTCCTCCTAAAATAACCATCGTCCACCGGTAAAGGCCTCTTCTGCGGCAAAGCCACCGCCAGAGCCGGCGGCTGCGGCGGTGGAGTAGAACTAACCTGAGGAGTCCTCCGGTAAGACGGAGGCAGCGGAAGAGCCACCGGAGGAGACGGTGAGAGATGTTTCTTACCGGATGAATTAAAATTGGACCCAATCAAAGCGTCAAGCCGTTCAAAAAAGGGCCAAGCCGACGCCAGGGTTCCGTTGGAGGAAACGACATGAGATTTCTCGATCTTGTATTTCTTCTTGATGGTGTCGATCCGGTTCTTGCATTGGACGTCCGTACGGTACGTTTTCTTGGTATGGCCGTGAAGCGCGTTGACGGCATCAGCAACATCTTGCCAGTCTTTTTGACGGAGATTGCCTCTGTTAAGCTCGAGATAACGGCGTCCCCAAGCATCAACAAGAGTAGAGGTAGCTTCTTCACTCCAACAATCTTCACGGATTGGTAATGGACGAGAGTGTGGTGTCGTTGACGGAGTAACAGAAGATGACTCAATCAGATCTCCCATGATGGTCGTTGATTGAGAAGGTTGTGGTTGGTGGCTGTTTGGTATGGTAATTAGGTTTTGGTGTGTTTTGGGTTGAGGAATATTAATTTGTGGGAGAGAGAGGCGAGGGAGATAAAAGGGGAAGGGTGGGATGACTTCGGTGCGGCGAAGGTGACGCGCCGGACAGTACTAGTTTTGGTTTTGGACAACGTGAACAACAATAGTCTTCGGGACGACGTGTCGGGCTGGGACATATCGTGCCGAGTCGGTCCGACCAATAATAGGATTGTTTTGTGTTCGGATTTTGCATAACGTTAGCCCTCCCCGTTATTCTGACTCGGATCCCTTGCACATTAATAACTTGCAATATTTATACCAAGAAAAAAAAGAAGAAGAAGAAGAAGAAGAAGAGGGGTTCTAAAATAATAATAAATTCCCCCTCTTTGTACCAAGAAAATCTTGCACGCTTTGCTGTTAAATCATGGTCTTTTTTTCAATGTTTTAGAACTTAAAAAATGGCTAGGAATGATTGCTTGATTGGCAAAGAAGAATCTGAAATAATTTATTAGAAGGATGAAGAAAACGAAAAGATATCTGAAATAATCATTCTTCCTTCCCTCTCTGCAGCTCCATAACTAGAGAGTGATATAGCACTCGCTATCTACAGGGAGTACTGTAGACAAAGCCAAAGTAGAGAGCCCTTTGGAGAACATCAATGTTGCGGGTAAAACATGTATAATGTATTTTCTAGCTATTATAGCGAGAGAGCTTAATTACAGAGCAACAATGTGGCTGCTTAAACATCTCGAATCCATTGTTATTAAACCTTGCTTGGACTCATTTGGTTAAGGGATAAACCCTTCAAATTTTATTAAAAATTATTAAGAAAAATTTTAAAACAATATATATATATATATATATGAATGTAGATAATAAAAAAAATATAAAGTACATATATTTATTCCGTTTTGAAAACTTAAAAAATAATCCATCTAAATATAATATTTAGTCAAAAATAAAACAGATAAGAATCAATTTGTTGGCTTCAAGGAAAGAACGTAACAAATTCTTGGAAGCATGTGCCAAAAACACTTAGCAGACATACTTGTATTGGAGGCAGGACGATATAGAAAGCTACGAGTCTCGGATGTACAAGCTATGATTATCTCTTACTCTTTCTAGGTAACGAAGATTACTAATATTATTTTCTTTAATTTCCTAGAATTATTATGTCTTTATTTATTTTAATCATTAAGTTTGGATTAAACCCAACTTTTAACATACAAGCTGGTCAAGCATCCATCTTAATTAAGAAAAATATCATTAATTAATGTAAAGTATTATTAAAGGCTAAATGTTATAAAGGATCAGGTAATCCCCTCCTCTTTTTTTCTAATCAATCCTTCTCTCTAGTTTATCAGCAAGCTGGACCCCTTCTCTTTATCTTGAAAATGAATGTTTAATCTCCACCCTCATGAACTGTTATGATATCAGGAACTTAAATAGAAAACTTTAAAATATATGGGAACTCAAATAGACATTTAGATAGATTATAAACATCAAAATTGTAATCATCTCCCGTTTAAATAACAATTCTGGATATATAGAAAGGTTAATTAGTCTTCCTGTTATGGTTGCTTTGAAAAAAAAATGTTAATCCGTAAATTCATTAAGAAAAAACACTGAGAAAATGAACAAAATTGATAAATCCAGACAACCTGGTAGTTTATTCTTTTTCAACTTATTCGAGGGTGATGTTCCCATAAAATGGCTCACATAAAGTCATAAACAAAGACAAGCAAGCTCAGTGGTACCAGGGCTCAGACAGATAAGGTGTCACGGTGAGGACCCTAATGAATCTGTTTCTTATTCAAAGATAACAGCAATAGGGCTCCTAACAACATGATCAGCAGAAACCCAATTCAGGTATCCCTGAGCAAATGGCACCTTCACATTGGCGGCTCGAGTAAATGTCACTGAATATGTTGCTTTCGAACTGCCCCCGCCGAATTCAATCGCGCTAGGTGTTACCTTAACATCAACACCTTGTGGTGAAATGATTTCAGCAATGTAAGATGATTTAAGAGGACCGACATTTGTTACTGTCCTTGTGTATGCCTGAGGACCAGACCCCAATTTTATGGAAAAAGAAGGATAGTTTAGCTGTGCTTCAGGTATGCTTGAACTATTTGAGCAGGTCACAGGGCGCTGAACGATGATTCCTACAGCCGTGTCATTGTAACCAAGACCACATAAGTAAGGAATGTAGTCGTCAGGTTGAATATCATAAACAAGCCCCGGATCATCTGCTTTCGTTGGGTTCACATGGCCAGAGCCGATGCCAAAGACATCAACTGGAACAAAGAATTGATCAGTAATGGGCATGCCTCCAAGATTTGTTAAATTAGCGGTTGTCATGATTGCAGATTTTATGGCAGCAGGTGACCAGTCAGGGTGCGAGCTTTTGAGCAAAGCTGCAATCCCACTAAGATGAGGAGTAGCCATTGAGGTGCCTGAAATCACATTAAAGCCGGGTGTGGTATTCAATCTGTTATCCACTGGATGAAGCCAAGCAGCTAGAATGCGAACACCAGGACCCAAGATGTCCGGTTTCAAGATCCCAGGACTCGCCAAACTAGGGCCTCTCGAGGAAAACAGAGCAACCTGGGGGGCATACGGGACACCAAAAACAGTTCCTTTAAAAAGTATCGTGGCCATTGGTGATGATGTTGAGTTTATATAGGCTTTGATACTCAATCCATCTGCATAGGTAACATGTGATGCCGGTAGTACATGGAGACTGGCTGTGGTAACATTGCCATAAATCTCATCATTCATGACAATCATTGCAGCACCACCAGCGTCCTTCACTTCTCGACCTTTATTAATCAATCCTGAATATCCACCTCTTTCACACAACACAACCTTTCCCCTAACATCAACATCTTTCAAAGACCCTGGATCGCAGAATGCAGCTGATTCATTACCATTGGAACCTGCATAAAAAAGTGGCAACAAAGATGAAGAGAAATTCTTAGGCTGGTAAAAGGATTCCCCATCATATTGAGCGTTATTTCCAAGCATTACAGTTGCTCTTATGCTTCTGTCAACAGTACTTGCCCCTACTGTTAGGATCCATGGGGCCTCGTTTGATAATGATTCATTAGAAGGACCTGAATTCCCCGCAGCACAACTCACGAAAATGCCCTTTTGAATTGCTCCAAATGCACCAATTGCAATTGAATCCTCGTAGAAAGGAACTGATGGACCTCCAAGTGATAGTGAAAGCACATCGACTCCGTCCTCCACTGCGGTATCCATTCCAGCTAATATGTCGCTTTCTGAACAAGAACCAAACTCGCTGCAAACTTGATATATTGCCAAGTGAGATGATGATGCTATGCCAACTGCAGTGCCATTGTACTGATCAAAAAAGCTTGCACCTGGGACAGGATTTCCTGCAGCTGTGCTTGCTGTGTGTGTCCCATGCCCATTGCCATCAATTGGGGGTTTACCATCAGAATAGAAATTTCTTGCACCAATGAGCTTGTTGTTACACAAGGTCCCGTTAAATTCACACTTCCCTTTCCATTTTGGAGGTGGGGGAGGCATTCCTTCGTCGCTGAATGAAGGATGATTTGGTGTTACTCCGGTGTCCAAGACTCCAACTATCACTCCTTTGCCATAATTTGAATGATTCCAAAATCCTAAATTCTGTTCTAAACCCAAGAAGTTAGGAGTATGAGTTGTCTTCACGTTCAAAACTTTCTGGGGCCAGGCGGACACGAACCCTTCCTTCGTTTCCATAGCCTTTGCTTCCTGCTTCGTAAGTTTTGCCGCAAACCCTGTGACCACATGGTGGTAGGAATGTATCAAACGCTGTTGGTTTGAGCTTGAGGTAGTAACTGCTGGTAAAAATGATTGATACCAGTTATCTAGATCTTCAGGTTTCGCAGACACCATGCCTTCTGATTTTTTTAAGAACACAATGTAAGTTTCTAGTTTGCTTTCCTGGTTCACAATGGAGTTACTAGTTGATGAACTGACTACTTGATCAGTAATAGCTTGAGTGGAGCTAAACAAGAGAGTCAGACTAAGAAGTATTGTAACCAACATGGTTGGAAATATTTCGCACACCCTGTTCTCCGTATTAGCAAAAGAATCAGGAAAGCGCTGGATATTTTGAGTGACTCTAAAGTCAAATTTAACGTCTTATATATACAGAGAGGAAGGAAGAGAATGCGTGTAATCTGTTGGTATCAACGGTAGCCGGCATACAGTAAGTGGTTGGAATTCTCTTTGATTGGCAAGATTGAGATTGGATCATTACCGCAATTCTTGTTGGACTTGCTAAAGAGCCACAATAGTCTGTCCAAAAGGTTCTGCTTTAGTTCTTGGTAAAGCCGCTAGTCTTTGCCAGAACAAAGTTGCAATAGATCTTGCAGAACCTTGGATTCTGCTCCATTGCCAACTCGTTTATTGTTTTTCTCAAGAACATAGCTCATCCTCTTATTTCAAATATTGGTAATATACACCTTCTGGATTTTATTTTATTTTCGATTTCATTCATAGTGAGGACAAGTCGATCCTTGTCTGTGTGACATCTTGTGAAAGTGGAAAAGGCTATGACATTTTGAGCACAAGCATAAATATTCATATGATATGCTCAACTTATCGGATCATGTTTAAGAACACAAGACAGCTTTCATCTTGTGTTAGTATTTTCCTGTAAATTGCTCAAAACAAATAAACTATGGCTAGCTGCTGATTGTATATTATCGACAAGCTGTGGGATAAGATAACTAGTAATTAACATCTTCTCCAATAGGGGAGCTTCTTTTCTTTTCTTTTTCGGTAACTTATGCTGCATAATATTCTGTTGGCTGGTTACATTTTTTACATGTTGCCATTATAGTGCTTTTTCTGGTTCAATTCATCCACTGAACTAAATGATCGTAATCAGTCCCATAAAGTACTGTAACCCTCATGGTGCAATACACAACAACCTGTATATCTGGGCCTCCATTTTCTCTTTTTCCCTGTTTTGAACCTGGACGAAGGTTGTCCTGATAGAGTTGCTAACGATCATGAGGCAGTAAGTTCTAGTGGTGGCTTCATGGTCTTGTGAAAACCTATTCTGCTGTAGCTCGAAAGCAAGCAACAATGCTCTTTCTCAATTAAAAAAAAAAAAAAAAAAAAAAGCAAAATGAAAAAGAATAAGGAAGGATTCACACGACAAAAGGAAAGGGGTGTGGAAGATAAAAGCATAACAGATGTACAATTAAAAAATATATATAAAAAAATTATTTTAATCTAATAGTTGAAATGGTTAGATGAGATTTTAAGATATAATTTATATTATTTTTTAATATATTTTTTAAAGTAAAAATCATTTAAACTTAAAATTTATACAAACTTATATTATTTTTATTTTTTATTTTAATGAGATTCGAACCCGTAACAGCTTAATCATCAAAATTTTAATACTATATAAAATAATAATCTCAATGGTTTAGTTTAAACTTGTAAGATTTTAAAAAATAATTTAAATTATTTTTTAACAAAAAGAAAATAAATGCACAATCAAAACTATTTATTTCTAGAGGTAAGAATATAATAACCGTTTTTAAAAAAATTCTTATTATATAACAATAAAGAATTTGATGGAATTATAAAAAAAAAAAACCTTTATAAACAATTATTTTTTTAATTGATGAACAGAGCTGATGAGCCGTTCATGTAAACTGATCTCCAGAAGTGAGCAAAAGCACCTAGTTGCCCAAGCCAAACCTAGAATGACCAAGATAGTTGTTCGGGCTTGGCTCAAGCATCCAGGCTGATTGAGCTGAAACCCAAATAATTCAAATTCACACACTTATAACATAATAAGTTTTTGGGTGTTGAACTTTTGTGAGGATTCAGTTCTATTCACCATTTACCCATAGTCAAAATTGTTTTTAATGATTGTTGAAAAATTAAACGTTTAAATTTTTGTTTTGATTGCTACAGACGTATAACAAGACAGTGATGCATGTAAGGAAGGGGGAAAGCCTTTATTTTTTCCTTTTATTAATGATAATTAAAGTTTTTTTTATTCAAAACAAAACTTCCTAATTAAATATGCTGACCCCCACCATTAAGATTAAAGAATAATATAATTTTAATTGTATCATAGATATGACCGGCCACTAGGTTCTAATAAAAGATTTTCCATTAATTATTATTTTTATTCTTGATTTGGCCCTAATTAAATTGATGTATTTGCTTTTTATATATTGTCATAATAAATATACGAAATTTAACACAAAATAACTTAGAGGGACAGAGAAAGGGAATTCAATTTTTCTAATCGTTTATTTTTGGAATGATTTTAAAATGATTATAAAAAAATAGAAATTAAATCTTCACTCATATGTCATTCCAACTAATTTCAAATACAAAAATATTAATAAAAATACAAATGTATTATAAAACAATATTGAATAAATTAAGATTTGCTTTCTCCAATAATGTTTTGTAAAAAACTTTATTAATCAAAATTTTAGTTTTACTAAAAATGTTCTAAAAACTAAGGGGACCTAAAACAAATTTTACAATAAATATCATGATTAATTTATAACTTTTCCATGGGCATCGGAAATTAGTAACCCAGATCTTTTTTTCATGTTTTAATTTTTATTCTTTTAATTATTCTCAATGCTACAAATCTAAATATATCTCATGAAATTGACCCGCAATTTAGATTTAAAATCTTATAAAAAAAAATTGGTATTAAAATATATTTTTTTTTCTAGATATAAATCATTATTCATTATAAAAATATTAATTATCATTTTACTTTTCCAATATAAATCAATGAACTTATAAGAGGGTAATATAATTTTTTTATATGAATCATGTAAGATAATTCGAGTGTTTTATCTTTAAAATATATATTATAAAAACTATATTAGCTTTAAAATTAAATTTCTTAAAAGGCCCGAGTGTTAGATTTTTTATTTTTATTTTTTTTTAAATATTTGTGTCATCATATTTTTTTATGTTAAAAAAATTTAAACCAGAGTGTACTGTGTTCCCTATCTAACACCAATACTGTTTTCTCTTTGTCCTGTAAGAAGGAAGGACAAAAACGAACGAGTACGATACAAGAGATGCACACTTTAAATTATGGATCTAATTCTTTTTACAAGTTTTCCTTTTCTTTTTGTAAAAAGAAAAAAAAAACTATCTCACCTAACTTGTTCCTGTTTTATACTACAAAATAAAAGGTTCGGTTATTTTTATTTTTATTTTTATTTTTATTTAATAAGGAGATGACCTCCGTGAGATTAAAAAAATAAAAATGAAATCTAATATGAAGCAATTTTGTTTATTATTTTTTGGTGGCTGATAGGGAGTATTCTCGAGTTAGTTTAAACATCAATTGAAATTAAGTCTTTTTTCTAAAAAAAATAATAATTTTTTCTAGGTCCTAACTCTAGTATTTAAATTCAAAAAAATAAATAAATTTAGGACTAAAAAATAAAGGGTCTGATTTATTCTCTGGGTTAAATCCATACTCTTGTGCCTTATTTTTTTATATTAAAAGTAGATGATATATTATTTGTTCTTTATTTTTTAAACAAAAACAAATGACGAAGCGCATGCTATTAAAAAACAATGGGCAAAAGCTGGGTGGAGAATACAGTAACGGGAAGAAGATTCTATAAAATTTAGTTTTCCCGACTTCTTAAAAAATTTAATTTTCCGGTGAAAAGACAGAAAATTCTAGATACAGAGAGGCATCAATAGTCATCAACCATTTTCAAAGAAGAGAATAATAATTAAAAAAAAAATAGAGGAATAAAATGGCATTTCTCAGGTCAGCAACAACCACAACAAAGACTGCTATAGCTGCCTTTGCTTTGCCTGCTGCCTTCGCTTTCTCATCTCCCTCCCCTTCTTCTCCAAATCCCAAACCCGAAAACCTCTTCTTCCTCTCACCATCATCTTCTCTTCTCACGTCAGCTCGCTTTGGTCTTGTAAAGAATTTGACTCAGCTTACTTCCTCCCTTAGCATGGACACGTCTACATCAAATCAAAAACCCATCTCACAGGTTCAATTTCAACATCTGCCCCCCTTTTCGTGTCATAATCTTTCGTATTGAGGTCTCTAGCTTGAATCTTTAATCTTGTTTGTTTTGTTTTGCAGGATAATGGAGCCTTGCCTGAGATACTTGTAAGTTGAAAAATATTTCATTTTTCTGTTTCAGCTTTGATTTTGACATTAGTTTTTGACGATACTGGATTTTTCTTTGTTGGTTATTTTATGATTTGGGGGATTATTTGAATGTTCATTAATGTTTTTGTTGTATTATGTTTGTGGACTTGCTTTGATAAATAGACAGAATTCATGGTGGATATGAAGTGTGAGGGTTGTGTTAATTCTGTCAGGAATAAGTTACAAACTGTTACTGGTATGCGATGGCTCCTTGTTTTAAATACACGGTCATTGATCAGTATCCAATGAGGATTTTCTTGTCCTCTTAAGAACTCTTTACTGGTGTGCGTTGTTTTCTATTGTGAAAAAAATAATCAGGAGTGAAGAATGTGGAGGTTGATTTGGCCAATCA